ACTATGCTGTCACCACAGCTCGTATAATTCCCTCAAGGGGCACTGAATATTTATTCCGAAGGACCACTATGTCCCGAAGGACCACTTATTGTTCTGAAGAGCCACTATGTCCCGAAAGACCACTGTATATGTCCCGAAGGACCACTCCTTAATAACCATATACATAATACAATGGACCAAATAAGTGTACCAAAGTACCACATATATGTTCCACAGAATTACATATATGTCCCGAAGGACCACGTAGAACCCTCGACTCTTGGCATGCCAATTTTACCTACAGCTCTCATATTAACTCACATGGGCTTAAATATGAATACATTTCTCATTTTCATATCTTCTCATCACTTTTCATATAAACATGTATTTCACTTCATATACACACATGTGATCACTTTCATTATTTCACATATCTGGATTGATCCTCTGACAATTTTATTCTTTCATATAATATCATATTAAAGCATAAATGAACTATACATGAAATCATTGTATCCAATATCTATATATGTGGATGCATGTACATGAATATGAAATCAAGAATTTAACTATAAGAGATAGACTTATTGCAAGTCTTATCTCCATACAATTCTATCAAGTATGGACACTCACCTTAGCCTTGCTTTGACTCAATTCTAATCCCTTGATTATTCCGGAACGAGATTACGTTCTAAATCTACATAGTAATACATTGATACATATCAGTATACTAATTGATATATTCTAAACTATCGCTCCTTAGGCTAAAAAGAAAGCTATTTTTATCTTTTAATGAAGGTATACATCGATGCATTACACCATGTATCAATGCATCCCTTTACGGGTGCATCGATGCACTATCTATGCATCGGTGCATAAATCCCATTCGAAGTTTGTCTTTTAAGCAGGTGCATCAATGCACGCCTTATGCATCGATGCACTAATTGTATTCGATGTTCAATTATTTGATAGTGCATCGATACACATTGAATGTGCATCGATGCACACAACCCATAATTTGTATTTTAAGCCCGAAAATATCAATTCTTCACTCAATTCTTCTATTTAAACCCTTATCATATCATTAAACCCAACCATCATTACTTAAACAAACTTATATCCATGAAACTCATCTTTAACCTCAAAATTCTATCCCTCATATGTAATTCAAGAATCATACTCAAATTTCAATATGTTCTAAATAAAATTCTAACACTTCATATTCCTTAATTAGCATGATGACAAGTCAAATTTATCTTCAAATTCAACTTATCAACTCTTTTCCATAAATTCATTTAAAACCTCATTTTCTTTAATCTCTTATAACTTCTTCATCTTGTTACTTTAAAACAAATTAAGCTTTCCATAAGCTTAATTAGCATCTAAGGATCAAAACCAGACTTAAATTTCAGCAAACCATTAGCCTTTAAGAATTCTCACCTTTGTTTTGCCTTCTTCACGTGTAGAAGAAAAGAAGAGAAGAAGAGAACTCTGAAACCTTGTTTTTCTTTCTTCTCTTCCACGTGGAGCTTAAGCTAATATATAAATCCCTTCTTTAATTATTTGTCCTTGTAAAATACCATTTTATCCTTCTATTCAAAAGACCATTTTATCCTTCTATTCTTTCTTCTTTGCAATTTAACCCTATACCACATTACAATACTATTCAATTATTCTATTTTAGTCATCAAATTATGAATTTTTACAATTTAGTCACTAACCTTGTATTGAGGATGTTACACGAGTGGCTTTGCAAAGGGATTTCAATTTTTGGAATTCTAATTTTGAGAACACAAACCTATAACCAGGTCGAAGAAGAAGATTTCAACCGAACGAAGTGGGGGAGAAGGCTATTTTAGACAACAAGGACGGGAATAATGAAATACCTAAGGGAGATGGGGGATAGATATTCCTGGGAAAGAGAGATGAAAAATTACTCTTGGTATTAATTTTTTACTGATACTTGGTAATATGACCCATCCAAACATATGTATATTACTCTGGGAAAAAACATTCCTCCTAGGAATGAATTATACCCTGAACCAAACGGGGCCTTAGAGTTTTTTATAATCCCTGAAGGAAACACACGTAGCCAAGGGATAACCATTGGATCTGACCTAATCCAACGGTCCAAGATCAAAGAAGTTTAGGGTTTTATCATAACCCAAGTTGACGGATCGCACAGCTGCATCATGACCGTTGGATTTGAACCAATCCAATGGTCTAAGATTAAGGAAGTTTAGGGTTTTATCATGACCTTAAAATTGACAATGGAAACCAACTGCCAAGATTACAAGCCGATTTTGTATTCAGATTAATCTAGTGGTCCCTAAATGGTGCATGGAGTGCACGAGAGACCTCTCATCTCTCTCACGCTCCAGCAATCAATATTCCAGAAGATAATGCGTTCGAGAATCTGTCATTTTCCCCATCTGTGCAAACCGTTGCACCAGACTGTACCGGCAAAGGCGAACGGCATGTGAATATATCATCAATAAATGACTAAGCAGACAAGAGGATTCAGGAGAACCCTTCGATGAACCCACAAGAATAAAATCCACGGTGAAGGGCTCCTTAACCCTTGAAGATCACAAGCAAATGAAAAACAGAGGAACATGAGGAGTAATACATATCATCAGCAAGCAAAAAAAGAAACGAGAGAGAGAAAAAAATCTAGAGAGCGTGAATAAAAAACCTTCAGTCTTTCTTTTCAGTTAACAGAGAGCCTTATAAACAAGAATAGCAACCAAAAAGGGGACCATTTTCCCCTTGTTTATGAGCGAACCAAATACCCAAACAAAAAAGGAAAAAAATTGACCTTCCCTGTACGAAAAGGAGCACCGTCACCATCCCCTAAGGTCCGAACCCCATTGATTCGTAAAGGGTAAGCTTCTCACGCCTCCTAACCATTGTCGAGCTATTTTGTGGGTTTGTGGGTCTGGTTCGAAAGAGGGGTAGGTCTCAGGTAAGGTTTTTCGGGGGGTTTTTTGATTGTGACTTGGGTGTGGTATGAGTTTGGAGTCCCTCGACTCATCATCGGAGTCCTGAGGGTGATTGGAGGCCATGGTGGCTGCCTTGCCCAGATGGGAAGGGCGAGAGTGAAAAGGAAAAGAGAGAGGATTGAGAGTAGAGGGTGGCACAGTTAGAGAGGAGAAAAGATGAAAAAAATGAAAAGAAAAAATGATTGGTTTGCATCTGACCCAAAATATCATGTATATACTACTGCCAAAACGACATCGTTTAGAGGTTAGGGCAACCCGTGTCTGGTGAGTGGGGTAATTGCGTGTGAGCTCCATCAGTTTTTGAACTGCTACGTTTTAGTCCTCAAATCGAGTCTTTTATGTTTTTAATTTTGTCTTCATATTTCAGGTGCTTTTCTTTTTAGTCCTAAAATTATGTTATTCTTAATTTTATGTTGTTTTCACAATTAGCCTGTAATTTTGTTACTTTATAATCTAATCCCGCAGCATGCTTGTTTAATTTACTGGCCAATTTACACTTTGTATGCCTAGTTTTGGTACTTGTTGTTTTCATCCTTCATGGTAGTAATGAATACATACAAGCATGGATTATATGCAATAGATTTTGTTTTGTTTATAGTTATTGATATTTATATATTTTTTAATATATGCGGTATGCGCATTTTCTTGTATATACTTATGTATCATATCATTATACTTTAATTTCGGCCTTAATATTCTCCTGCACATCGCAAGCATAACAAGATAAATATGTTACTTTAATTATTACATGAATTAGCATGATAGCTATTTATCACATGTTATGTTAAAACGACCATAATAGATACATAAGTTTAACCATTTTAAAACATTGAGAATCCATTAGCATATTTATAAAGCATATATATATATATATATATATTCGTATTCGCATGTGCTTATATTATTCTAGGTTCAAACATTTATTCGAGTATGTGACAATTTTTAGTTAATTTGCATGATGCCCTCATAAGCATTACTTGACCATATTGAATAATTTGACTAAGGGTAATACCTTTTCATTTTAAGGTTGACGTGAGGTGGTTGTTTTAACTTATGAGAAAGTTACTTCCGATAATTTTAAAATAAAATGTATCCCGTTAAGTGAAACCCTAAATTTTGATCACATCTAAAATTTGAGAACAAGAGAAAAAGAAATGTTTATCTATTTAAATTCTTCGAGAAAAGATCGTTAGAACTTATCTAAGGTTCGATCTCGACATCTTTAAATAAGCAAATATTCTTCTTCTCTCTAAAAGGATTGGTAATTTTTATTTTAATTTGTTTAATTTCGTGCATTTGAATATTACAATGAAACCATAATATTTCTTTATTTCGATTGGAGTAAGAATTGATTGTCTCAAGGTATGAGAGTTAGTTTCTTCTCAATTGGAAATAATTAAATATTATTAGGTTTCATTCTAAAATTCATAGAGTATTGTTTTAAGGGATCTTAAACTAAAATTAAATTCGAACTTGTAAATTTCATTGTAAAGACAATTAATTAATCGATTAGGTGTCGATTTAGGATGTTGTGGAGGTGCTAATCCTTCCCCACGCGTAACCTACTCCGAACACAATTTTTTGGTACGCATACTGTAAATTTGTTGTTTTAATTAAAATTAATATTTTTATTAAAATGACAAACATTGTTTTGGGTGCCCAATCACACCCTAATTAAATATTGGTGGCGACTCCTTGAACCGTATTTTATTTTATTTAAAGGGAATCCCAAATTTTTTGAAGCGAGGGATTTTAAAAAATCACATTACATTTTTAATTATAAATCAATCAAAAGATAGATAAAAAATGTGTTTTTTCTAAAATCCGAAAAAAAATCGTTTCGAAATATAGCGTATCATACTCTAATTTTATAATAACACATTATAGAGAACAAATCTAATGTTATATTTTTATGATAGCATATCATACTCTAATTTATCATTAATATATCAAATATTAATATAATTATAAAACATCAGTTTTTAATATAAGAATGAAACTCAAGCTTATTTGAGGACTCTGTGGTTTCGGGCAGCCTCAAACACAACTAAAACTCAGTAAATGAAGTATGAAATCAGTAAATTTCATCTATGGAAGGTGGAACAAAATTTTTCAGTTATGATATCGAATAAACAGATGTACATACGTTGGTGTGGCCCTCTCTCGGTTCGAATTTTCGTCTAGCTCCTGTTACCGGAACAAGAAAATGCAGCAATACCATGTCACTGGATTTGATCATTAACTGAGTTTGCCAAGTTCAATCTTCCTCTTGATTGCCTTCTGACCATGGTATATAAAAGAGTCAAACATTCCCGCCACTGCAAAAGCACCTGGAAAAAAAATTGGGAACAAATAATCAACAACTCCAATCCAATCAAGTCATTGTGAAGGCCATATCTCTGACTTAAAGGCTTCCATATATCCGTCTACAAAACCTTATTCTTGGGATCAAAGTTGATCGAGTAAACCAAATAAAGGAAACAAAGAAAAGGCTCCTTACCTCCAACAATAGCACAAACATTTGTTAGGAAATGCAGGAATGAGACATGCTGCTCCGTGAAAGTCACCTGCAAAATATGGTTGAAAAGAAGCTCAGAGAATAGTTGAGAGAACAGTCCAAATTCGAACTAACATTTATAACAACATTGAAAGTGATGTGGCATCTCTATGGCATCAAATGTTTATTTCAGACAAAGAAATTGTATAAAAACAACAGCATAGGAGTAACCAACCTTGATAGGAGAAAGGTCGTAAAAGAAGTAAACTGCAGGAAGGGATTGAAGCTGGCCTACTTCTGCAGCCTTAAAATGCTCTGTTACGGAGAACTGTCGAAAACAATATCCCATGAATTAATCATTTTAACCAAGTGAAAAGGATAAAATTGAATCATCAGCAAGTTTTTTAACCACACCTGATTAGACTGGATAGTGTGTCCAGTCACATCAGTGTACACCGTCGGTACAACCTACAAAATAGAAAGTACATTGAAAATTCCTCAAAGTTACCCTTTTTTATTTTAATCTCATTTAGGAACAATGATAAGCTACATGCAAGAGATGCAAAAAAAAAAAAAGGATTGGAGAATAAGATAGTAACCAACTAAAGATGAATTCATGCAGAAAACCAACCTTGATAAAGTACTGGAACATCCCATTTGGTTGTTCTTGTGTCCATTCAGCACTAAATTTGGAAGAAAAATGAGAAGGTCAAGACATATAAAATATGTCAACAACCAGCTCTTGTACATGATCAAGGTAAAATGATCAAGAGAAAGTTAGCACTCACCTATCAAGAGGATTCATGGCCCCTGGAAAGTAATCTCCGAAAGCTAATCTATTGATCTTGTGACTTAGCTATATCAAATATTCATGAAGCATTGTAACATTAGATCATCGTTTTCAGAAAAGACATGCTAACGTACGCAAAGAATGGAAACAAAAGGGCTGCATTCGTCTTACATTATAACTGTCCTTTGGAAATGATGCTAGAAAGTCATGTACATGAACATTTGATTGCTGAAAGCTTTTCCCAGGTGCAAAATGAAAATTCCCTGCCACCTTATTGATTTCTAAAGAGCCATATATATTGCAACCCTCACCTTCTTCATCCTTAATCTGCTGAAGAAAACCCTCTCTCTTGCACTGAACAGAAACAAGAAAGCATAAACCAGGGTCACATTAAAATAGAACCTCTGTGGGAGTTGGATATAGAAACCAAGGCCAATACTAAGTAGGCATTATTAGGAAGGGAAAGGGGGATTCAATATATCTAAGTAGCTATGAAAACAAAAACAATGAACTACAGGCGGGACTAACTGCATTTCTTATCTGAGCACAAACATCTGTGTGTGTCATTAAATCTGATAGTTTAAGCTCTTATGCAGACAAACCTGGTCGATCAAATCAAGGTATGGCAAACCCCAACCTCTCTTTTTGTATGCATGGTGAACTTCATCACAGGAGTTGCAACAATCATCATCAGCCTGCAACATTGAAAGAAAAAAGAATGCTCAGGGAGGAAAAGTGCACCATGCCTGGAGCAGAAAGATAGTCATTCTTGTAACCGGACTGTTTTCAATGATTATTCTCAACCTAAGCACAGACAACATCGACTGCCTCATCAACTACAGAATAAAATGCAACCCCCACCAAACCAAAAAAAAAAAAAGAGAGGAAATTTAGGGAATAGCCACAAGACAAAAGAACAAAGTAATGCAACTAAAGCAAAAGAGTACATCATGTTAGGCATACGATGACTAAATTGCAATCCTCTTGGGATCAAGAAAATAAGGTATTGGAACATAAAAAACGAGTCAAAGATCCATGGTATTCAGTAAAAACATGCAGCCAGTGGATTGACTTATATCACAGAGAACTATGGATGAAGCATACCTCTTCTGCCCCATAACATGAACCACAGTACTCCTCATTGTGCTTGAGCCTGCCACCATGCCTCTGTAAAGGCTTTTCAATCTGTATGAAGCGGAATAATTATGAGCAGAAAGAAAGAGGAAAAAAGAGCTGAATGTGTGGCTCCTCAGATTCTTTTTTAAAAAAATACTACTGTGAAAACAACTTCAAGCAATATTGCCATATAACAAACCTTGGGAGCACCAATTCCATCTTTCCTTGATTCTATAACATTGCCATGTGCATCTACCCGTTTCTTGAATATATCATGTTTCTGCATGTTTATAAAGATAAATGTTTAACAACTAGTGGACAATTTTAGCAGCATGCATGGAAAAACGTAACTTCTATGAGCATGCACATAAACTTATGCCTATATTGCATATGAAAACTCATCTATGTGCCCTTAGAGAGAGAGAGTAGATTAGGAAATTCCCTTTACAACACTTGATGACGTTGAAGAGAAATTCATCAATATAGAATAAAAGGCATAACTAACTACTCGCAATACATACCACGTCAAGGTGTTCCTCTCCACTTACGTCCATTGCGTCAACGCTTAGGATTGAGCATGCAAGATGAGGAAATGTGATATCAAACTGCATTTTCAAATCCAAAAGGAACAATAAGAAACTAGATAGGATAATTACAAAGGATTCAAAGCAGCGCTACATACCAAACAGAAAAGAAAAACTACGAAATGTGAAATTTAATATAGGTGGTTATATCCATTCTCATAATTCACAATATGATAATTCAGACCATATAAAAACAGTTGGATTAGCAGATGACAATACGTTGATGCGTAGAGTTCCCCCTCTTGAAGTGTCCACCACAAGCTTCGTTTCAGTCGAAGCATGAAGATATAGTTCTGCAACCAAGAAAAACAAATTTCAAATAATTCAATTCCAATGTAGATATAATTTTTTTTTTTAAAAATGAGATCCACATAATTGAACATAGTAAAGAAACTTACGGAGCTCGGAAAAGAAGAGCAAGAGCATAACAACGGAGGAGACGATAGTGATAATGCCACCAGAAAGTGTACGGCTGTAGAAATCCTCGTTGATCTTAGGGTAGGCGTCGAGTTTCTTCAACTTATTCATTATTCCAGCCATTAATTCTATTAAGTTTTTTTTTTTTTTTTTAATTAACTACTGGTATTCAATCAATCAATTGATTGACTACCAGTAGTTATTTTTTTCCTCTTTTCTTTGAATTGATTTATGAAATGATCCTCCTTATTTCCCTAAAATTCAAAAGAAATGGAAATTAAAACAATAAAATCCGATAGAACAAATAGCTTAAACCCCTCGCGCAAACTAAAATGTGTATTAAAGTTTCGGAACGAGGAGTCTAAGGGGATTGGAAGGGAGGAGCTAAGCCTGATAGGTCCCTGTTTGTTCCCGGCTTTAAATAGAAGAAGAAGGCGAGGCTTAATCCATTAGCTCCCGGCGGCATTTACGGTTTATAGTTGGTAATCGAGCGGTTCTCCCGCCTGCCTACCCTTTTACCATCTTTCCTTCTCTATTTTTCTGTCAAGATTGAAACAAATAAACCGTTAAGTTTCGGACATGTATGTCTAAATTTATTCATGATTTTTTTTATTAATAATTTAAATTTAAAAATTTAATAACACGAATTAACTTATCTAAGTGGTTAAAAGAATCATTGTTGTTTCTATAGGTCATAAGTTCGAGAGTATTTATAGAACATATATTTCTTTATAATCACGATAATTTACATAACATATATTCCTTTATAATCACCTTAGCTTAATAAAAAAACTTTAAAACTTTAATATGATCTTGTTATAAGATATTAATTTTAATATATTTAACCGTTAATTTTTTTCTATATATTGGATAAATAATTAGTTTTTAATTTATTAAAAATAATATACCCTATTTAAATTTTTTAAATGAAATCAAATAAATATTAATTATACAAAAAATAATTATATTTAATAAATACAAAAAATTAAGTTTAACAAGTTAAACACCTGGTAGGAATGCAAGTGAGACAAATTTTATAAAGATCTATTATATTTCATATTTAATTTGAGAAGATGAATGTAAACTTTCCGAGTGATAGGATAAAGATGAGGATAAAAATTAATCTCGTCATTAAAGAGGGGATCTATGTGAATATGATCTTATACTTATTTCTTATTTCTTATTGTCTATGCATGTCTCATATTATTTTCACATGTCAATATATATAATAAATATTTTTTTGTAATACTTATGTTACATCTACATGTATTGATTAATTTTTAATTTTTTTTATAATTATGTTATATTTATGATGCATTTGAAATAAATATTTTATAATCGAAAAATTTAACAAAAAATTATATAGTTGAAGAATTATTTTCGAATTTCGTCATATTTTTTTAATAATATCCAATATTTATTTATTTATTTATTTTAACGTTTTAAGTGTACCGGTAATATTTTTGCTTCCGTAGAATGGCATTTAAAATAATTTTTAATATTTTTAATTATCATAATTAATAAATTAATTGTATTTTACTATATTTATTGGACATCACCGCATGTATTCTATTACTTAGTAATATTTTTCTTGTCCATTTTTACACAAACACTTTCCTCTCATCACTGCGATTTTCCTTGTCACATTCACACTACGAAGAAAAGAGCAAAGTTTTGTTCCTAAAATATACTTGGTAGATATTATGCATATCTTATCTTCGATCTCAACTCGTATTTTTGAAGTACACATATTTAATGCGTATTTGGACATAATTTTAAATATACAAAAAAAAACATAAAAAAGGAAAATGACACATATTGGACACATGAATCAAATTACGATGGTAATAGGATGCTTATCATCTCCTACAAGAAGGAATTGTGTCCCTTCTTCCATTACCATTAAACCATATTCATTAGCTCTACCTAGATGCTCACAAGGCTTAACTTCAAACTGAATTTCACCCACTTCCCCTGCATTTAAAATCACACTTTGAAATCCAATCAATTGCTTCTTTGGCCTCCCATTTCCATGGTTTCCATGTCTCACAAATAGCAACACCGGATGCTTACCGGCCAAATCCCCATGATTTTTCACTCCCACATGAACCGTTAACTTCCCTTCACCACAGACTTCGGCGCCCAACTCCGAAACTAGCTTGTACCCTACGGAATCGGATGTCTCCCTTGCACGTAAACTTGAAGAATGGTTCAAATAAAGTTTGTTTCGGGACACACGGGTGAATGTATACGAATACTTTGAATAACTAAGGCCATAACCGAATTCGAAGACTTTGTCTCCTTTATAGAATCTGTATGTGCGTCCGGGATAGTCGGACAATGGTTCTGGTCGCATCCTCATGTCCGTCATTGGTACTTTGGTGAAATCTTGTGGATACCAAGTTATGGGTAATCTCCCTCCTGCATGACAACATGTAATGAACCGTCATTAGTCATAAACATTTCATTTTCATTAGCAAGAGTTGGTATCGAATCAACGGTTTGTTACCTGGATTGTGATCACCGAAGATTATTTCCGCAAGTGCAATAGCCCCACCTTCTCCGGGATAACCGGCCCACAAAATGCCACCGATTCTCGGATTATCCTTAGCGAAAGATACATCAATAGGACCTCCAGAAAGAAGCACTAAGACAACCGGTCTTTTTGCAGACTTTGCAACGCTGGTGATGAGTTCTTGTTGCCTTCCGGGAAGAAACAAATCGATGCGATCAAGCGCCTCTCTTTCTTGAGTTTGATCTAATCCCATTATCAACACAACATAATCTGCCCGTTTTGCAATGTCGACTGCTTTATCAATTGCAGCAGTAGAACAAGAAACCATATCGCAACCGGGGTGATAAACAGTGTTCTTAACGTAGCTCTTCAAGGCTTGCAAAGTAGCAAGGGACTTGCATGGAGGGCCTGCATAGTTTCCGATAAGTGTTTGCGGAGAATCAGCATTCGGGCCTATTACAGCAAGTGACATGGTAGATTTCGGAAGTGGAAGGAGTTTCGCATCGTTCTTTAAAAGGACAATGCCATTTCGAGCAGCTTCAAGTGCTAGGATCTGGTGCTCGGGAGAGCAGATTTGGTCCGTTCTGATATTGCTGAAAGGAAGTTGCTCAGGATTTCCATCGAAAAGACCTAACCTCATTCTAACAGCAAATAGATTATGGAGAGCTCGATCTATTTGAGATTCAGGCAGTTTTTTCTGCAGAAGTGCAGATTTGGTATAATTCTGCAAATAGGATCCACAGTCGACATCCATGCCTATAAATGCTCACGATCAGACAAAAATATAATTAACAGTATAAATAATCTTATAGAAACTAAATAGAAACCATTTTGATTACAGAAATACATACTTTTATGTTGTTTTATGACGCTGGTCATGGAACTGATCAAAGATAAATTATCAAAATTTGATGTTATACTTATAGTATAGCATCCTATGCCTACATGTTTGAAGCATATCCCGGCATGAATTGGAAGATATGATCTTCGAATATAATCGAACGGTGAGAGAAAGATGATGAAAATATGCAGAAACAAATATAAGTAGAAACATGGGCACATGTTGCAGAATCAAATATAAGTAGAAATATGGGAACACGTTGCAGAATCAAATATACCAGCTTTGAGAACATCGACCACTGCATCTTCAGGAGCCTTGGCGTATCCTTGACCATCATGGATGAGCGCAACCGCATCACAGTCCGATGTTATATACCTGATCGAAAAGTTGAATCAATCTAGAAACTATTAGAACTAATAATCATCGAGTTCATGATCTGTATATGCAAATTTACCCTTTGAAATCCCATTCGCCTCTCACAGTCTTCAACAAAAGGATGGAATCCGCGCAGCTCGGGACTCCATTAACTCTATTGTAAGCACACATTACGCCACTGGCTCGACCATCTCGTACACAGCTCTCGAAAGGCGGTTGGTATGTGTCGGCTAAATCTTGCACACTTACCTACAAACAAATCCAAAATCAAAAGTTTAAAAAATTAATGTTTTACTTGAAATAGTTGACAACAAATGCCAACAATGTTCTAAATTTCTTAGCAAATACTATAAAAATTCATAAGAAAAAAGTCAGTGAAAATCATCATCAACAACAACATTGGCGAAGACTTACACGAGCATCAAAGACAAATCGGTTCGTACCCTTCCAATTATCCAAATCATAAGCTGTAAAATGCTTACAACAAGCTGAAGCTTGCAGGTGGCCATGGAGTTTCCCGCCATGAAAAGTATCACCTTGAACACCTCTCACGTACGACACCGCATATTTCCCGACAACCAAGGGATCTTCCCCCGGTGTTTCTTGCCCTCTCCCCCACCTTGGGTCCCTAAATATGTTAATATTTGGTGCCCAAAATGTCATCCCATTCGCCTCCCCTGCATTATACATCGCTCTCGCTTCTCTTCCAATCGCCTCCATTAATATCACTCGGTGTTAAAAAAAACTGTGAATATGTAAGAAATAAGCTTAATTGTTCAAAGGAATGGCTAACTTACTAGTCCAATGCGGTACCATTGATATGGATCGAAGGAAGCGGCAGTGAGGATGACTTGAGGGAAGCTAGTGGCGGCTTTAATTGTGCCATCAAACTTGACGCCGGGGCCGACGTTGGCGACGCCATGTAAGGCTTCCGACCACCACTCGTATGCGGGGATTCCCAGCCGGGGGATCGCCGGAGCTGAGTTAACGAGTTGAGAGATTTTCTCATCTAATGTAAGCCTTGAAACGAGGTCCCTGGCTCTTTGAGTAATGGGTAATCCAGTTTGGCAAAATGGGAGGTTTTTGGTTACCGGGTTCGATGAATCACACGAAAACGGAGGTAGGGTTGAACCTCCATGGATGAAAAGCAGGGTGAAACCGATCAAGGGAACCAAAGAAATCATTTTAGCGAGTGAGAAGTGAGAACGATGAAGAAAACTGAAGCTGAAAGTGCTTATAGTCCAGAGAGGACAGAGATGCTTTCACATTCAGCGTGTTATTATTATTCTGTTAAATAAAAGTGGATTGACTTGATTGCCCATCCATTATATATTTCTGGATTGGGTTTTTGGGTAAAAGAAAAACTTTCTTTCAGGGGTGAACATCCCTATGTGTGGGACCCTCCGTTCGATTGGTCAAATTGAGCGGCGAGGTGAAAGCTTCATTACCAACGTTAGAGCAAAACTCTACACACGTACTTAATAAATCACTCGATGAAATTAATTTAATTTAATAAATATTTGTATATTTTACCTTAATTTTTTATATTATTGTTTGTCGGTGTTTACATTTATTACATTATAAATTTTATAATTAAATTTAAAATAGGGAAAATGAATTGTTTTCAATAAAGTGTAAGTAGTACAACAATACTATGGCGTACCGAGAAGTAAGAACCCTCGAGTTAAGATAGTATTCCATAAGGAAACCGAAATAGTTTTGTCCTCTCATCCCACACTCAAATGCCCTAAAACCTACAATTGATCAACAGGCAAACTTCATGATTATTAAGAGCCCAATTATATTGTAAACAAGTAGTTTATTGGTTGAGGACTTGTTTTCGCCATCCACGACATTGACTTTCTATAAAATGTTCAAGTCCCGCATCGGCTCCATTTATAGCTTCATCAATCTTTATAAAGAATCGAAGAGCAATCATTGTTCACCGAGCTAAGTAGCGTTAGCTTGTTACCCAAGTGGGGGTACTAGGATGATTGAACGGATGGCATGGTTCTTTTGGCAGGGATCACGTTTGCTTCTTCCTGGCTTGCCCGTTCCAAGTTATGAGTGAATTGTGTGATCTGGGCCAAGGCTTGGGTCTCGTGGTTTCCTAAATGAGAAGGCACCGCGTTAGGCTGGCTTCACAGAGCAACGAAAACTTCCTGCTCATGATAGTGGTCGGATTACCAGCCGGTGCATTGTGGTCCTAGATTTGTCTATCCTGACCGAGCTCAATCGGACAATCATCTTTTTCTTTTCTTTTGTCTTAATACTGATTATATTTGTGTACAACTTTAATAAATTTTATATTCACCCAACTCTATGATGTTAATCTTTTACTCTGTTAAGTTTTCAACATATGATTTGCTATCAAGTTTTTACTAATAAATTTGTTATGCCTCGCAAATACTTAATTGAACACCACAAAAATAAGGATATGCTTAAACTATCTTCATAGTATTCAGTATAAATATAAATACAAGGAATATAAATGATATAAATACATTTAAAAAAATGGAGTAATAATCGAGCGTCAAGTTCAATTAACTTGAAATCTACAGAAGAGAAAATTAAAAAATACATATAATATTTTTATCATCTGTATTATTTCATAAATTATTGTATAAAATAGTTACAGATGTAAAATTGTGATATAATGCGTCCTCCCTTTATTTAATTTTCCTTTCATACACTAATTTGACATATACAAGCAATATAAAACATTGACTTTCTCTTTAGCCTTCCACTTTTGTTTACTATATTTCCTTTCTTTCACTAATTTTAATCATAAGACAGTGTTGAAGAATTAATGATGGGCTTAATCCGGTTAATCAAATTAAAATATGGTTTTAGTAGGTTTGTATTTGAATTTTGAAATCTCAGAAATTGTAGATTTTTTATACTACTTTCAGATTTCGGACACTCTTTCATAAAGAAACCATAGTAAAGGAAACTTGGTTGATGTTGACCTTTTTCTAATTCTGCTTAAAGGTACAAATTCATACAACCTGAATTGTCTCACCCAGTGATAAAAAAAACCCAGTAAATATGTAAGAAATAATCTGAATTGTTCAGAAAAATGGCTGACTTACTAGTCCAAGACGGTACCATTGATAAGTGGTGGATCTAAAATTTAAAAATTGAGGATAAAAAATTTTATTACTCTATTTTAAAAGTATTTTGGCCGTTTTTTTTTTTTGGATATATCAATTTTTTTATTTATTTTTCTCTGTCAGACACCTTTTAGATTATTTTTTTTATCTAATACTTTTTGCAGTTAGGCGCGTCCCTGCAACGCGCTTTTCGCTGATCTGGCACCACGTGGGGTAAGGCGCCCCCTGAAACGCGTCTTATGTTGATGTGGGTTACACGTGTGTAAAGCGCGGCCCCTAGGGAGCGCCTTATGCAACGTAGAGAAATAGCGCAGGGCAGAGGGTCGCATCTTACCTTTAATTCAATTATATATAGCGCGGGGCAAGGGTCGTGCTTTAGATTTAACTGATACAATTATACCGCGCCTTGTATATTTATAGCTATTTTTCTCGGCTATGAATACCCTTCTCCCTCGGTAAACTCCTCGCATCTCCCCTCTCAACTTATAAATTAATATAACAATTCCGTCAACGAGTCAATAATTCCGGCAATCTTCTCATATTTAATTCAAAAATTTGTGTGATTTTTCGTTATAAGGTAATTTTGTTATAAATTTTTTTTATTATACTTATGGTTTATTATGATTATTTGAAAAAAATATTATACGTTTATGTATAAAAATTTTATTATGTTATATTTTCGTTCATATATTATTTATTTAATCAGGTTTGTTTCAGTTTTTTTTTGCAGATATAATATTGTCGTACTTTTAAACTCAAAGAATGACGCGACTTTCAACTATTGTTTATTATGATGGTGAAATTCGAGAAGATGAAATCGGCGTTGTTTTCGTATCAAATGAGCGTGTTAAAATATCATTCAAGAGAAACATAACTCTTGAGGAGCTGATAACGGAGATTTCGAGGAAGGTTCATGTTGAAAGTAGTAGAAGAATGTCGTTATTGCAGTACAGATTTCCAACATCATTGTTGTCATTAACTTATACAGCATTCAAACTTTCGAACAATGATGATGTTGAAGTGATGGTTGAATCTCAAAGTAATTATTCAGACGCCGATATTGAGATGTATGCAAATTTTGTTCAAGTGCGTGATGCTCGGGTTCAGTCATTAAGCTCCCACTATGGGTTAGCTGAACAAGTTAATCAAGTTGACAGCCCGGCGACAGTAATGCGTAATGATTTTAATGCCATAATGGGGAGACATTCATCCGCAACTCCTTACGATATGTACCGAGGTGGGTCAACGAACAATCCGTATAGCAACATCGCGTGCAGTTCAAGGGGAGACATTCATCTGCAAATCCCTTTGACCTTAATATGGAGATGTCATCGACGCAACAATCTGTGCACTATCCATTTGACACAATGGCTTCAAGCTCCAGGGGGAGGCATTCGGCTGCGAGCTTTTTCGATCTCAATGTCGATATGCCTTTCAGTTCAAGGGGAAGGCATGCAAGTAGTAGGTTCTTCGACCTAAATGTGGAGAGCATGGAAGAACCATCATCTCCACCAGAAGAACCACTTCGTGAGCCTGGTGCGGATGGTGTTGAGACTAGACTATTCATTCACCCAGAATCACCGCAATTCAACTCCGATGATGATGATGTAGATGAAGTTCCAGGAAATGTAGCACAAACTGACCCTCCTGCACACATGTATGAAGCTGATTATGGTGCAATATATGGGTCAGAATTTGCGGATATGTCTCATATCGGTGACTATGGATATTACTCATCAATAAATAATGGTAAGTTATCTTTAGGCATGGAGTTTTCAAGTAAAGAAGAAGCGATGATGCTATAAAAAATTACAATATTTGTAATTCTGTTCAGTCCAGAGTCGACCGCTCCACGACCAAAAAATATGTATACTACTGTGCCCGATGCGAAAACGGATGCAATTGGATGGTTGGTGTATCGAAAAGGAAGAGGAAAAACAACAGATGTGAACTAACAGTATACAACGGTCCTCACACATGTTGTGCTAGAGGGGTCAACCAAGATCATCCCAACTTGGACTCTGAAGTGATATGCTAAGCCATCATGCCCATGGTAAAAGCAAGCTCTAATATAGATGTTGCAGTGTTGATTTCAGCTATACAATCGCAGTATGGGTATACTATCTCCTATAAAAAAGTTTGGTTGACAAAACAAAATGCCATTGTCAAACTTCATGGCGAATGGGATACATCTTACAACGAACTTCTAGGTTGGTTTAGGATGGTGCGGACGTTGAATCTTGGGATAATTATGGACTTCGAAACCTCCTATGCATACTATAATGATCGAGTTCTACTCGAACGATGCCAATTCTATCGGGTTTTTTGGACTTACCCACAGTGCGTTAATGCTGTCAAATACTACAAGCCTATGGTCCAGATCGACGGGACTTTCTTGTATGGAAAATACAAGCAAGTTTTATTATGGACAGTTGTCTAAGATGGCAATCGCACAGTTGTCTAAGATGGCAATCGCAACATTCTTCCAGTTGCTTTTGCTCTTATCGAAGGAGAATATACAGATTCTTGGGCTTTTTTCCTCCGAAACTTACGTTCACATGTTATCACGAGGGAAAAAATATGTGTCATTTCAGATCGCAGAGCTGGGATCAAAGCAACAATGGAGTCTTTGGGTCCAATGTGACAACCACCCTTTGTCCAACATAGGTATGGTCTCTGACACATTACTGTGAACTACCATGGAAGGTACAAGAAGAATGATAAGAGTTAATTAATTGTGCCCATGGGTATGTGAAACTGATGTAGTTTGTTTTCTTTCGATCATTTTAATTTTGCAAAGAAAGCAAGTTAGTGACTATAATAAAAGAGTTAATAAGTGACAAACTGAAGAAAGTTTGAGAACACAATTATTAAATTTTATCAAACTAATAACAATTTGATATTTGAACATAATTTTAAATACAACAAACTTACAAAAAATATTAAATGGTAAATGATAACCAAATAACAATAACTTATATTAAATGGTAATAAACAAAATTAACCAAAATACATTAACAAAACTGTATAACAAATTTAACAAAATAAATTAAAATAAATCCAACCACATTAACGAAAAAAAGTAAGTATTAAATGATAAATAAAAAAAAACTACAATAAAAAAGTCTAATAAATAACTAAATACAAATATAATAAAAAAACAAAATCTATCGATGCCTGCGACGCGAATGTTTTCTGTAATACGGTGACTGTCGGTCTCGAGGAGGATTTCTTTGTATCACTGGTTGTGACTCCTCGTTGTCATCATCATCACCATCACCATCGTTGAGGATGAGCTGATGATGATGAAGCACCTCTATAGAATAAGGACCCTGGAGGTGTATGACTGACTATCCCATCGGCCTGCGAAAACTGGGAAAACTCATAAAACCTAGACATCGCCGAGTGTGAAAACTGTACAGGAGGTGTCTATGTTACGGCCATAGGTGATGAGGTTGCACCCGTCAAATATCCAGTATATAAACCCCAAGTAGGATTTGTAAACATAGACCCATAATATTCTTCAGGAGAGGTCATATAACTCTATAACAGTGGCGGGGTCATAAAACCAGGTGACGGTGACATCGGGTAAAGGAATGACGGTGGCAGCATCATATATGGCTGCGGTATGTAAGTCGCTGGAGACGGTGGCTGCTGTGAAGGTCCTGCTGGTGCAGCTGAGGACGAACCGGACACACATGCTCTCCATCCACGAGTCGAGGGAGAATGGTGTTGTGTCGATGAACGTCTCTGTCGCCGTCGTTGAAAGGTCCGCCCTCGTGTATCCTCGGGAAGCAGAAACGGTTTCCTGTTACTGTTGAACCAGTCATAATAACCGTCAGGAACCATCAACAGATCAAAGGGACCATTTCCATCCAAACATCTTAAGACTGCCCCTCAACTCAAGTGGGATCACCGTCCTCACATCATCATTAGAATATGACACACATTCAAACTAAAACAAAAATATATAATTTTTATCAAAATAATAATCTAATTATATAACTATAATCTAAAATCGATTTTTAAACATTAAAATGCATACATGTGTGCCAACCCTCTGATCGATTAACACCCTAATTTTTTCTAAATCATCAGGTAGCTCCTGATGATTTTTCCTATCAGTAGACCACCTATTCAAGGAAAAAAATTTATTATACACTGTATAAAATGATTAATATTCGAAATCAGTTATAATTACCTCAATAGCAATGGGAATACGAATTAGTTCTTGACAACGGGACATAAAAAGGGTAATCGATACCACACCCAAGACTATAGCAGCAGGAGACATCCGCAGATAGCATTTTTTCTGTAGTCAATCGCGCGACACATCTTCCTATACAGGAAAGCCAAAACTGCCGAGCCCCAACTGAGTGATCCGACCATATGAAAGTCACCAAGATGTAGCAACCACATACAGTGAACTTGGTTGCGCGATTTGTCCGGCATCAGCAACCCTTCTATCAGCTGCAGTATGCATGCCCGTGCATACATTTTAACTTCATCATCAGAGGCGTCCTCGCTCAACTCCCAAAAATTGGTATCTAACTAATTTAACAGTATCTGACCACCATTAAAACTTTAAGGGACACGTCCTAGATAGTCCCGGCACAAAGCAGTCCATGAACCGTGCGCTATCCCCGCTATCACATCTCCATCCACCAGAAGCCACAGGTGCATAGAAACATCCTCAAGTGTAATCGTCTACTCTCCGCACGGAAGATGGAATGTGTGGGTCTCCGGCCTCCACCGCTCCACTAAGGAAGCAATAAGGTCTGGTTCTATCTTACAGTGACCCTCATATCTACCTATGTGATCGAATCCAACCTCTACTAAATACGGCATGACACGACCATGTATCAATAACTTAAGGTTCCTAATAAAAAGATCTAATATACTGTATCTCTCATAAAATATAAATAATTCCAAAAATTAATTTTTAAACTAATAATCATGCATTAAATAAATAAATAAATTATTACTAATAATTTAAATTAAATTAAAACGTTAAAATGTTACAGTATCAACAAAATGTCAAGATATATGATTTCCATCCAAGTGAAGCAGACCACCTTCCATTTTATATCTGTAAAAAAATTAATTAAATACAATATTAAATAATTTAAATACTTAAATAAATTAAATATAAATATTAAATATAATAAAATATACCTTAAATAGAGAATATAGTATTTAAGAGAAGTTGAGAGGATTTGGTGTGATGAAAGTGATTGAGGATTGAGGTATTTATAGGGAGGGATGGGGTGTGAACGGTCGGGGTAGGTATGTAATTAAACTTAAGGCGCGTCGCAGGGGTGCGCCTTTCTGACGCGTGTCAGATTTGCAGGTAAGGTGCGGCCCGCGCCTTACACATGTGTATCTCAGTCAACATAAGGCGCGCTTCAGGGGGCGTGTCTTACTCCACGTGGTGCCAGATCAGCGTAAAGCGTGCTGTAGGAGGCGTGCCTTATTGCAAAGGGTGTTAGATCGAGAAAAAATAATCTGAAGGGTGCCTGACAGGAAAAAATAAATGAAAAAGGTGATATATCGATAAAAACGCCAGTATTTTGGGTGTACAAAATTTTTTATTTTTTTCTATTTTTATTAATAAACTAAATTAAATTTAATATTTTTCTTAAAATATTGTGTGTTTCAGTAATGGCTCCCTAGGGAGCCATGTACATTTGTCCCTGTCGTCGATATGGATCGTAGGAAAGGGCAGTGAGGATGACTTGAGGGAAGTTAGTGGCGGCTTTTAATTGTGCTATCAAACTTGACGTCGGGGCTGACGTTGGCGATGCCGTGTAAGTCCTCCGACCACCACTCGTATGCGAGGATTCCCAATCGGGGGATCGCCGAACCTGAATTAACGAGTTGAGAGATTTTCTCATCTAATGTAAGCCTTGAAACGAGGTCCCTAGCTCTTTTAGCAATGTGTAATACGATTTGGAAAAAAGGAAGGTTTCTGGTTTCCGAGTTCGATGAATCACACGAAGATGGAGGTTGGGTTGAACTGCCATTGATGAAAAGTACGCGAAACTGGTCGAGGAAACCCAAGAAATCATTTGTGTGTGTGAGAGAGAGTGTGTGTGAGAGAGTGAGTGATAAGTGAGAGCGATGAAGAAAATTGAAGGTGAATTAGGGGTGAGTGATTGATCGAGTTAAAAGATTTTGAATTATTTGAGTTAACGAGTATTATTTTATAATTTGAAGTTGATTTCAAAATTTTTTGAGTTGATTTTATAAAATTCGAGTTATTATTTTAATTTTTATTTAAATTTAATTGTAAATATTTATAATATTATAATATTATTTGACTCTAATTTAAATGTTCTTATATATATATATATATATATATATCATAAAAAGTCGATATACTCGACTTAAACTTAAAAATCAATATATTAATTATTAAAAATTTTGAATTATTCGAGTTGAATTTTACAATTCGATTTGAATTTAACACTTTTTAAAATCAAATCGAGTTTATAAAATTATAACTCAAAATTAATTCTAATCGAGTTTTTAAAATCAAGTCAAATTAAGGGTCCGTTTGTTTCACTGAAAATATTTTTCGGAAAATATTTTCCATAAAATAAATTATATTTTCTAAAAAACATTTTCTAAAAAACGTTTTACGGTGTTTAGAAGATGTTTAAATCTTTTTTCCACTAGTTGATGAATTTTTTAAAAATTATTTATTACAAATATTAAATACAATAAATAATATTATTTATCATAAAACTTAATATTATTATTTTTAAAATATAAAATAATTTATTTATTATTAAAATATTATTTTTATAATTTTTAATAAAATATTAATATTGGTATATTTTATTGAAATAAAATATTATAAATTATATTAATTATTTATTAAAGTAATAGTGTTATATTATATTTTAAAAATATTAATTAGTATATTTTAAATATCTTTTAAAATTATTATATTATATATTATATTAAATATATAAATATATTATTCATTTTACTAATTTAATAATATTATTTATATGAATTAATAAATAATAAAATTTATTAATAATTTATTATATATTATTAAAATAAAAATATAATATCTTATATTATTATATATATGATTATTTTATTATAATATTAAAAATAAAATATTATATTATTTGAAGTATAAATAAATATATTTAATATTTTAATAATTAATATTTTGATTAAAATGATATTAAAAATATTTTATTAATATTATATTCATAAAATAAAATTATTTTGAATATTTATTCTTTGAATTGAAAAATTCGAAAAATAAATTACAGAAAATCAGACGTAAATCATTTTTCAAAAACAAACGACACTAAATTTTATTAATACCTAACCGAAACTGGTTACTGTTCAATGAGAACAGAGATGCTTTCACTCTCAGTGTGTTATTATTAATCTGTTAAATAAAAGTTTATTGACCAGATTGCCCATGCATTATACATTTCTGAATTGGGCTTTTGGGTACAACGGAAACTTTGATCCAGGGTGAACATCTGACATCTCTATGTATTGGGACCTTTCGTTTGATTGGTTGAATTGAACGGCGTGGTGAAAGCTTCTTTACCAATGCTTTTTTTTTTAGCAATGAAAGGCTGGCTTTAATCGTGTCGCTCAAAATGGACAACAGCTGTACAAGTTCATAAACAAAATAGAAAACAAAACGCTAAAAGGTAACTCAAAAGCCAACCGTCATTCTTCAGCTGAGAAGAGAAAAACACCTTCCACGAACACAGCCAGAAGAAATGAAAAAACACATCGAACCTTGTCTTCAACCAGACCAAACTCAACGCTTATGGAGGATCTAACCACCTCTTGTGCTCCTCTGCTTGGATTTCTGCTCGAGAAGGTCCCTCCTCCACCCAATACCTATCCTCGTTCCCAAGGTCATCATCGGCTGCCAATAGATGCGCCACCTTATTGCCCGATCTCGGGACAAAATAAAACTGACATGCATGAAACGGGTTCGTCGTCCTTTTAATTTCCCAGATCCAAGCACTTAAATCCGAAAGGTCTTCTTCCCGATATTCTAACTTTTTAATTACTGATTTTGAATCCCCTTCGATGATCACTCGTTTGAAGCCGAGGTCCTCTGCCAACTCCACCGCATGCAAAGCCGCCTTCGCTTCTGCCATAAACGGAGAGGTAATATTCAAACACAATCTCCTACAAGCTTCTAAGATTATGTCTTCTTTATCCCTTATAACTACCCCTGACCAGGCCACTTTTTGGTTTTGAATAAGCTGAGCATCGAAATTCACCTTTACTGCTGGGTCAACAGGCGGCCTCCATCGGGCGACGGGGCTGTAACACTCTAGTTCAGTTAGACCAAAAATTCCATGGATTACAATTGAAATAGTGGCCCAAAAATTTTCTTTTAAAATTGTTTGTAAATCCCTGAAATTTAGATAAACTAAGTTTACAAATGAACGGGGAGCTCTCAAAATATATCTACAAAAATAATACAAAATATTGAATTCCTAAAAGAGTTACGACTAAAAATATAATACAAATCTATAATAGTGCATACCCTCTAAAGAAGACTTAAGAAATACTCTTAAAGGTCTCTAAAAATATTCTATGTTGTATTAAAATATTTTATGACGATAGCTCCCTACAATCTGTCCCTAAGAACCTTTGCATGTAAATACATTCTTAACGCTGAGCTTACGAGCTCAGGGTCTTACTAAAAACTGTATTATACTATATGCGTTCACTAAATGAGATGACAAGTGACACAGATCTGAGTATATAACTAACAGACTGTTAATCTGTGGCTGACATCATGGTGTGACTGAGAGATTCTGCATCTCGGAGCTCACGCACCCTTTTAGCACTGTCAAAGCACCATCAGGTATTCTCGGGTGAGATCCAGAATTCTGCATCGGAACTTACACCCACCAACTTACTCTATCGAGTCTTAGGGTATCTGGCTCCCTAGTCAGCTGTTGTAGTGTTGTGTCATTGACTTGGATTCACTGACTGTCGTATTTTTGCTAAAAGGAACTCTGATGTCCTAATTGTTTCCTAAGCGTCAAACAAAACTAGTTTTATGTAAACCTAGTTATTTCTATTTCCACTGCTATGATATTGATTATTGTTTTTGCTTGAAGTCTTATTTGAGGATATACTAAAGTGTTGGGGTACTTCGAGTCCATTTCCCTTAAAACTAGCCTTTTTGTCCAAAACAGACTAAAAGTATCGATACTAGCCCAAGAGTATCAATAGTCCTGAAAATTTTTGATACTTTCTACAAGTATTGATACTTTTAAACATTCTGAATCACCTAGTTTCGATACTTTCTGGGATTTTCTAAACTATGACCCAAAGTATCGATACTTTTGAAAGAGTATTGATACTCTTGTCCAGAAATTCACGAGTTTGCCCGAGAAGAAGAAGTTTTGATACTATCCTTCTAGTATCGAAACTTAACCTACAAAGAGCATAAAATATGTGCAAAAACTCCAATTCTACTATCCCTAAGACCTTAGTGAGGTCTCCAAACATTATTAATGTTCTATGAAGATACAAAGGAGAATAAATAAGCCTTTAAACATGTTTATAACTCTAAAATATGAAATCTACCATGAGAATGCTTCAAGCTTATGCAACCTACTACATTTCATCTAAATGACATACATATGGTATAGTTGAGTCAAGAGTGAGTTACATTTGATGTTATATTGCTAGAAATGTCAAAAGCTCAGCCCAAAGTAAGTTTTTCCTTCCCCTTAACTTTGAAGCTTTCTCCAACCTTTTACACTAAACAAAACCAAATGCAAGAGTTACTAACTGTTGCTAGGGATTAAGGAGGGTTTTAAAACAAATCCTAAGGCTAGAAATATCTGAAAATGGGTTGGAACTATCTAGTTCCTAAAACTTTCTAAACCCGTTTCTTGCAACTATGGTGAAATGGGTATCTTGAGAGCTTGATACAAAGCTTGGGATATAAGAATAATGATTCTTACCTTCAGGTTGCTGAACTAGGGTTGCAAGACTACCAAGTTTCTACCTTTACTTGTTCTTGGTAGGAAGAAAGAGCTATGGAGATGAAGATTTGAAGAGGAATAATAGACAAAGAAGAGTTGAGAAAAAGAGGGTATATCAGACGTGATATCACCAAACAATTAAGGATTTTAGCCTTATTTTTTAACAATGGTAAAATTGTTTCTTTGGTCCCTCCAATTCTGACTGCAGATTAAAAACACCATTTTTATTCACTATTGGGCTTACCTCAAGCTCAAATTCTCTTGAATTTGGGTCAAGGCTTCCTACAAGCTAAAGAATTAAACCAAAGCTCATCTAAGGTTAGCTCAATACTTCTAACCCAGGATTCGGGGCGTTAGAGGGGCGACCGAGGCTTGTATGCAAACATTGGCTTTTGAATGTTCTAAACAGTGTGCTTGAATAAAGGTAGTCATCTCATCAATTCTAGCAACTTTTCCTTTATGGATGCGTTTATATATTTCGAACCACAGAGTCCAAATGGTTGTCATGATTATTGGGTGTTTAGATGCATTAGACTATTTCACATCCGGGAGAACCATTCACCAAAACTAACATTTGAAAAATGTTGGGGCCAGAAGAAATTCAGTTTTTGCCAAACTTGTTGTGCTATTGGAAAATCCCTAGCTATATGTTCCACATTCTCGATCTTTGCTTGACACCGGGCACAGTTAGGGTTATTCGTAATGCACTTCTGAAGCAAATTGTTATTTATGGGAACGAAATTGGACAGAAATTTCTTCAGCTGAAGTTTTATCATTCGTTGACAGGCATAGTCCCAAACAACATTTAACACCTTAGTTTCGTTTGGGGATACCTCACTTTTATCCAACAACAAGCGATAAACATTATGCACACTAAAAACACCCGACCATTATCCACACCAAACATGTGTGTCTTCCTGCGTATACCACGATAATAGAATACTCAAGATCAGCTCGGCTTCTTCCATGTTGAACGTTTGACGAACTAAAACTTCATTCCAACTTCTTTCGTTCTCAAAGATTAAATCAGAAATCTTTATAATTGAATCTTGTCGATTTGAGACCACCTACCGATTTCTTACCCCTGGTAGCCAATAATCATTCCATACTGAAATCGAATACTCGTTTCCTACCTTCCATCGTAATTATTTCTCCAATAAATCACGGGCACTCCAAATATTGCGTCAAATGTAGGGCATGAAGGATCCAAGTCTTGATTCAAAGAAAACTCCATTGGGAAAGTATTTCGCTCGAAGGAGACGACTAACCAACGACCCTGGATTCATTAATAATCGCCACCCTTGTTTTGCTAACAAAGTGGTATTAAACTTCGTCATATCCCTGAATCCCAACCCTCATCCTTCTTTCAACCTGCTCAACATCTCCCACGAACACCAATGAATACCTCGTTTAGACTCTGATTTCTGCCACTAGAAACGAGCCATGATATTTTCTAACTCTCTACATAACGTCTTGGGTAGAAGAAAACAATTCATTGCGTACATTGGAATTGTTTGAAGAACAAATTTAATAAAAACTTCTTTCCCTCCTTGGGACAAAGCACAAATACACCAATTCTTATTATGTTTCGAAACTTGTCCTTCAAATTTGCGAACTCCCCTTTCTTATTACATCCTACTATCTTCGGAAGTCTAAGATACTTTTCCGGATTCGCTGAACTTTCCAATTCGAGAATACGCTTGACATCTCTTCGATTTTCTTCAATAACATTCGAACTGAAGAAAATGCCCGACTTGTCTAAATTTATCAACTGCCCCAAACATTCACCATAAACATTAAGAATATGCTTGATCTGAGTTTCCATATAGGGCATAGCCTCCCCAAAAATAAGACTATCGTCAGCAAATAATAAGTGAGAAATAACCAGAGCATACATGTTAATCCTCACCTTGTATTCCCCTCTCTGCACTACTCGTCGGAATAACACTGAAAGATCTTCACTACATATCAAAAAAAGATAAGGACTGAGAGGATCCCCTGACGGAGTCCCCTCTTAGGCACAAAACGCTCCCCGTAACCTCATTCAAAATGACCGAATAAGATATTGTATTAACACATCGCCTTAAAATTACAATCCAATTCGAGTCAAAACCCATCTTACTCATAATTGCCCAAATGAATTCCCATTCAACTCTGTCATAGGCTTTACTCATTTTCAATTTCAACGCGAAGAAACCTTTTCGCCCTCCCTTTTCTTCATGAAAGGGAGCAAAAGTTCATAAGCGATGATTATATTGTCTGTAATCAGCCTCCCGGAAACAAAAGCATTCTGAGCTTCATCGATACAACCATCCAAGTAACCCTGCATTCTCAGAACGATCGTCTTGGACACAACTTTGTAAATAACGTTACACAAGCTAATTGGGCGAAACTGGGTCAATTTTGTTGGAGAAGTAGTTTTCGGAATCAGAACGATACGAGTATGATTGATTATATCAATCGCCTCGCCCCCTTCAAGAATATCAATACAGTAATTGGACACCTCAGAACCTATCAGATGCCAAAAACATTGATAAAACAACACACCCAACCCGTCCTCACCCGACGCCTTCGGTGGGCATAAAGATTTCACCACTTTCGTAACCTCCTTAGTGAATGGTCGGAGTAAGAAAAGAATTAATCCCGCTTGTTACGCTAGCTTCAATCCCCTCCAAAACATCATCATTAATTCCAGAAAATTTAGACTGAAATAATTCCATAAAATACATGGTTGCCAAATGCCCCATGCCCTCCTCATCAACAATTATCTCACCCTCATCAGTCTCAAGAGCCCGTATACGGTTGTGCTTTTTCCAGCTAGAATCTATGAAAAAAACCCGTATTGTTATCCAATTCACACGAGCTCTTTGTTCCCAATACAACTCTTCCTTATCCAGCTACAAATTCAATTGCAACCTTGTGTCTACTATGTCACCCAAAACCTCATATGTTGGAGTCAGTTCCACAAGATCTGCTAGCTTCATTACCAATGTTAGACCAAAATTATACACACGTACTAAATAAATCACTCAACAAAATTTTATTTAAATAATTTTAACATGATTCAATAAGTATTTGTATACTTAAATAAAAAACAAATATTAATCAATACAGATATGAAGTAGGTAAACTTCCTGTTTGTCAAGAGTCCAATTATATTGTAAACGAGCAGTTTGCACCCATTGGTTGAGGACTTGTTTTCGCCATCCACGACGTTGTCTTTCTATAAAATGTTGAGATCGCGCATCGACTCCATTTATAGCTTCCTCGATCTTTATAAAGACTCGAAGAGCGAATCTTGTTCGCCGAGCTAAGTAGCGTTAGCTTGTTATGGAAGTGGGGGCACTAAAGTGATTGAACGGATGGCATGGTTCTCTTGGCAGGGATCACGATTGCTTCTTTCATGGCTCCTAAATGAGAAGGCACCGCTTTAGGTTGGCTTCACAGAGCCATAGAAAACTTCTTGCTTGTGATAGTGGATTACGAGCCGGTGCATTGTGGTCCCAGATTTGCCTAGCCTGACGGAGCTCAATCGGACAGTCATCTTTTTCTTTCGTTACTTTTTGCTCAATACTGGATATCATTTTTGTACTTCAATAATTTTATATTCAATCAAGTCTATGATGTTAATTTTACTCAATTAAGTCTTCAACATATGATTTGCTATCTAATTTTTACTAATATACCTATTTATTATGCTTCACAAATATTTAATTAAGGCTTAATGTAAAAATAAATGCTTAAATTTTATCTCAAAAATGATTTGGTGTCTAAAAATTTTTTGTTAAAAATTGAAGTCTAATGTTATCTTAGTTACACTTTTAAGTGCCTCTCTTCTATTTTTAAATTTTTTTAATAATAAAAATATTATTTTTTAATAAAAAATTAAAAAAATTAATTTATTTACAAAAGAACCCAAAATTTGATGAAATTATAAAAAAAATCTAAAATAACTAAAATCTTTCCTTTCAAAACATTACCAACCGTGGAACGTCAGAGGAGCACCCACAGAGCGACGACGAGGATGGGTTTTAAGCGGAACTACACGGTGGTCAGAATAATGGTGACGGCGTGGCTTATGAATGTCGGGATCGGCCGAAATCAACAAAAAACAGCAACAGTAGTGACGAACCTTTGAACGCTTCTACAGGTGGTCAGAATAATGGTGACGGCGTGGCTTATGAATGTCGGGATCGGCCGAAATCAACAAAAAACAGCAACAGTAGTGACGAACCTTTGAACGCTTCTACAGTAGCAGCTTATGACGAAAGGCCAACCGGGTTTGATCAGAAGTCTATGCCGACACTAACGACGGTGGCGGTGACAGTCACGACCGACTGGCCGACAACCATGGAAGGGGAGAGTTGGGAAGGGATAAGGGGGAAAATCAAGAGGGGCTACAGTGAGCACGAGGGGTTTTTTTTAATTAAAAATAATTTTTTATTTTTTAAAATTTAAAATAAATTCTCAAAACAATTAGGACTCGACACATGTCACTTAACGATCAAATTTAATAACCGTTATGGTTTAGGTACCTAAAATTGCTTTGATGAAAACGTTAGCACCTTAGCAAAAAAAAATTAGGCATATAATATTTTCCGAAGTAAACTTCATGTACTTAT